ATCCGGGACAAGCGGGCCAACACTCCCGACGTTTTAGCTGAAAATGCAAATAATCTTTAAAACCTCGCAACAACAAAAATGTAGGTCGCTTGTTTTGGAGGCGCGCTTTTCCGCGGCGTAAGTTCCTATTCACATGGTGTGGTTTTGCTTGCTGCGACGTCGGGCAGCGCAGCTTCCCCCAGGCTTTTTTTTTTTTTTTTTTTTTTTGCAGCACGAGCGAAGTTGCAGCAACAAAACCGCCAGTAAAATCGCACAATGTGAATCAGACTTACCCCCATGCCTCGCAATTCGCAACTTCAAGCGACGGTTTTACTGCAGAGTGAAAATCGTGCTCCCTGGCTCCCCGGATGACCGGCTTCAGAATACAGGGGCCCTAAACTCGTGAAACACGAAGTTGGGGCCGAAGTTGAGGGAGCGCACCGATTGGACTATCACGACGATGACTCGGCGTTTTTGTCGCCAACATCCAATCGGCGCGCTCCGCAACCTTTCGGCCCGAACTTTGTGTTTCACGAGTTTAGGGCCCCAGGTGCCTATTGCTTACGCCTTCCCGATGTGGAACAGTGAGTTGGGGCTCTCACATCCCTCGTCTTTCTCAACAATCTAGAATCCCTCACGCGTCGCAGAACCAACCTCGTACTGGTGTTCTATGACTGTCAAACACATGACAGCCATTTTGATAGGAACTAGTGCGCCGTGAAAGTTGCGAACAGCCAACGTCATATAGACCCTTTTCAAAAGTCGGGTGCCGATTATTAGAAGGTCGGAACCACTGCACAATGGCGGAACAACTGCATCCAGCAACGTGCAAGTCATTCAGTAAGATAGCGAACGTCTGAGCGCGGCGAACACTACGAGCCGACGAGCCAATCAAACCACGTCGAAAGTGCAACGTCACTGCGCTCATTAGCTTTTTCGGTGGGTGTGTGTTTTCCAGTGTGCAGTGACGTTGAGGTTTTAGTCCGCCATTGTGCAGTAATTCCAGTGCTGCCTACAGCCACGATTATTTTATTTCGAGAAGAAAAAAATATAGTAAGCCGGCTGTACTTTTCAGCTTATTATTGACAGCAGAGGGGACACTACAAGCCATCGAAGCCGATCCAACGCCGTGTGAGTGTCACGTGACCCCCTGGAGGGGCGTGGCGAGGTACGGAGAGCATAATCACGTGATGCCTTCACAGCGCAGATCGCCTAGGAAGGCTCGTACCGTCCGTTGCGGTCCATCATAACCTGGAACGGGAAGAGCTGATGGTCGAGGAACGACACCGTTTAAGCGCGAAACAGATGTACGACCAAACCGTCCGATCCGACGTCCGACCACGCAATACGACGGTCGGAGGCGAGGGTTTTCAACGCTCTCCGATGCTACGAAAACCCTCGCCCACCAAGGTCATTTCGGCAGTCCGCACATCGGATCGGACGGTTTCGTCGTACATCTGTTTCGCGCTTTAGAGGAAGAAAGAAACTTTCGGGTTGAGATTTCCATAGTTGCCAACTCAAAACCTACATTTCCTTTTTTAACAACACCACTCCAAAAAAGCAAAAAAGAAACGTGCACAAGCGGGGATTATTCTGGTTCTCGGAGCCTGCGCGAATAGGCTCAGACGGTATAGGTCGGAAAAAGCGGGGGATTTGTCCGAGTCAGGCGTGCACAAAGCCACGCAGGACGGGAGACCGAGGACGCAGGCACTTTGCGGGAGAGCGGCTAAACACGATTAGAGGACACCGGTCGTCGGAGCCGACAGTATACTGTTGGGGAAAGTTCCTTGATTGGTGAGTCAGCGGATAATCCAGGCTGGCGACTGGAGAGCAAGCCTAAATTGGCGGGCTATACGCGGCCTTGCTCAAAACCAGGCTGTAGCCGATGAAGAGGTACGCCCGCGGCGCTCAGTCCGTAACCGTCACCCCCCCTCCTTTCTCCAGATAAAGAGGCCGGTGCACCCTGCGGACAGTTGGCAAAGCATGAGAGGAGTTCTTGTTGTACTTACATGTTTGTGGAATTGATTTCTGTTGTTTTCTAACCATTTCTTCCGAGGGCGCTAACAAATGAATTAGCGGGTTGAAATAATAAAATAATTATGGCCGCCCCGTGCACAATCCGCACATTCAAAAAGCAAAAATCATGCACAGCCCGCCTCAAGGGTGCCGACTCTATTAACGTGAAAGAAAGCTCGTGTCATACAGAGATCATTAACACCGTCTGTTACACACAAAATCCGTGACGTATCGTCATAATTACAGCTACGCAACATCTTTCAAATCTTGCTTCGCACTTTCCTCCTCAGTTTCTCTTTGAAAGGATCAAGAATCGCGCGTGCGCTAACAAAGAATTCAGTAAGATATTGGCTTCCTGGCCAAAAAGAAAAGCGATCGATAACATCCGTAATCAAAGAAGGTGTCAAGGGCACAAGTTGCCTTATGGACACACAAGAACATTGGCAGTGATTCTATTGCAACTGTGTAGTCATAAATCGCGGGCCTATTAAACAAGCCACCTTTGACACGAAAAGAACGCGACTATGGGAATAGCCTTATCCTAACGTACGCTGGTTGCGTTCATCCCGAGCAATGTTCCATGACCAACCCGAACCAAGCAACCAAATCAGCGTCCTTGTAACGCTATTTCAAAACAATCGTTTCACAAGGAAACCTCGTCGACCGCACGTGCCGATTCACTTTCTTGCTTACAGGTTGCGGGAATGTCCGCAACTCGCCTTCTGAAACCGCGTTAAAGTCGGAGACAGTTCCTCGTCCCCCGGTCTCGACCAAACACTGCAATCTACTGGCGGCATAATTAGTACGAGCAAGCAAATATTTGTGTCGAAATTTTGCTGCGAGATCAATTTACCCGCTCAAGTCCGCGAGCCGACTCGAACGGAATTATAAAGACAAAAAAAAAAACGAGAAACACGACGCAACGAACGCCCAGATCTTCCCCGCAGTTGCCCGGGAAGAAGATCGAGAACGGAGAAAACGACGGGGGTTCCCCAAAGGCGACCGGTCTAGCGCTGTCCTGTGTTAGCTGTTGACGGTGGTCACTGTCCTCTTATACCCTCAGAACATGAGTCAGGCGAGGGACCTTCACCCTGACCCCCAATGGACTTGGTAACATTACAGAAGTATGTAATTAAAGTTGCCAGTGTTCTCCCCCTCGCTGTTGTGATAACAGATGTGGGGCGCGTGCATGTATGAATAGACATAATAATTCCTAGACCTCCCTCACGGTAAACACGGGACAACCTTCAAGAACGTACGATAGGGACCCCTCGCCCCCTTTTGACGTGAGTTCTTCTGAACGAACATCCACTCCCCAGTCAGCGGTCAGAATACTTCAGACTGCTGAGTCAATGGCAGAAGCCCATGAAACAAGTGTAGAATGCTCTTTCAGCATTCTTCAACAAAACGGATGTCGGAGAGAGCGACAAATCAGGACTGTTGAGGTCTCAGTTCTTCTCAGAAGCCCGCCTAATCCTAAAAATTGTTTGCCAACCAAGTGCCCCGACAAAATCACGCCATTAATTACAGCATTTACACGGAGCAGGTATGGTTCGGCGTCATCATTCGCGAAAGCTGAAGTCCTTTTCCGACGGCACTGAGGAGTGAAACGAGGCACAGAAAGTCAGGACCCCCCAAAAAGGGCGTTCGCTCAAGAGGAGCGCGTGACTGGTCACACCAATTTCCTTTTGGGCAACCAGTCGAGCCAGCAGACACGCTCGCGCCCCACTGTCCCGAGAAGGCCACGGCTGCGGAAAGAGCGAGGGCGGCACCGACTCCGGGAACAAAGGGACGAACGGAAATACGCGTAAAACGAGATTCTTCGCCTTCTCGACTCTCTTCTTCGCCGATCGTCGCCCACCGTGGGATACGCGAATCGGCTTAACGCCCCAGGCGCACGCGCAAAAGCATGGTCATGCTTATGTTCGGTCTTCCTCCGTCATCCATCACCTCCGGCGTGATTTTGTTGCTCTTGGCATCGAGCTTATGCAAAGCAGGCCGGATCTGCTTTGGACTCCCAAGATAACCGCCGCCTAGCTCGCCTTTGTTCTTCTTTTGTGGGAAAACCTGAGCGCGTACGCGCTGTTTCATTCACGCGGACTGAAATGAACGACCACCGTGATTCGAATGCGCAGCCACGTAGCAACAAAGAAAGTACACAGAAGATAAGGTGTCAGATTAAACCTCAGGATGTGAAGGTCGAAGCAATCTTACTTATATGCAGACGCAGATGCGCAGCTGTCCTGACATTTTCGTCTGCAGAATAGCGCTAGCGTACAATGAATCAAGTGTCAAAGATATGGTGCCTTAACAGCTGCATCTCAATTTAAAACCCTCACCCTCAAATCTACGACTTCAAAACCAACCACCCGATTCCGGAGACCTACAATTTGCGGCAAAGCTCGAACAACGGAAAAGCGTGATGGCTGCGCTTGATGAGTTACATCATACATGTAAGAACTGCTTATTTAAATTCACGAAAACGCACATCTGTACTTCCTATTCTGCTAAAACACAACGAGCTGGCACAGAAGTAATGCCCTCGCCATGGATATATATTCGCCTATATGAATACGATAGTCTCCAATAATCTGGTATGACCCCGGATCGACCGGATTACGTAACACCTACACTCCTCAGCCATCGTACCCGACAGTGAACCCTCCAGGTCCGATCTGCTGCAATCTCAATTACGCAAACGAACTACGGACGAAGGTAATGCTCGTAACACTAATTCAAAGAGAAGAAGGGCCACCGGTGAGTACCCCCTATCCCCTGGACCGCGCCGTGTAACTTTTCGAGCTTCAGAGCAGAAAGGAAACTGCGAAATTGCTCCAACCGCGGCAACACACCACGCTTCACGAGCAACTCGCATTCCCGCTAATCGCGGCATCGACACCGGATGAATTCTGTAAGCGTGAAATGGAACGAAATGCAAGCAGCAACCATCCTGTTTTTCACACGGCGAACGCAATACCATTCCCCCCGCACGTCACTGGCCTCACCTTTAGTGGGTTTGTGCAGTGTTCCTTTGGGTGCGGGCGGCGGCCTCATTTTGTATTCAGTCCGTGACGAAGAATCGTTGTGGCTGTGATGGTTACTGGGCTCCCGCCCCATCCTCGGAGGCGTCGAGTCCGGCGACGGAGGTCCCGGAGGCAGCATCTGAGATCGCACCTTGGTCAGCTGCGGCCTTCTCGCTTCTTCGCTGAGCACCATCGTCATTCGAGCTTCGGAAACTTTATGCTCACAGAGAACTCCTCGCCGAACGCAGGCTTCTCAGGGGCGAATGGAACAGCGAGCACATCAATTCCGTGATAAAATATTTTGATTAGACACGAAAATTGGGACGCAATTTGCACAACTAGACGACGGTTCTAACTTGTCCGGGAGAAATCCACGACAGTAATCCGTGACGTGACGATTTCTTCATCACTCCAACTGGAAGCCTCTCCGAGTAGAACTTCACTGTCTATTGCCGCTGACCGAAGCACGTCAAGCCACTACGACTCTGGCAGAAATCCGAAGCACGTTGCATGCCTCAGGCCACTTCGACCTCGGGCAGGACTCGCATCCAATATCGGGACAAAGAAGAAGTGTCCGGTCGGCGACGAGAAACAGATGTTCCACTCTTTTTGCACCCGAATGCGGCTACACTTTCTGGCGCAGCGGCAGCAGCACGTGCGTGCGGCAGCAGGAACGGTTTCCGGAGACGAGCGGCGCAAGTCAAGCAGCAGGCCAGCTCACGAACAAACCACTATCCTCGACGTGCGACCATGTGGCCGGCCGGCTGGCTCCTTGGGGCAAGCAGGCGCGCGCGCTCTCCCTCGAAATGTCAATGGAGAGGAGTTGTAGTTGTAGTAAGGTAGTAAAGTGTGTAGGGAGAGGGAAAAGGGGGACCTCCGAGACGAACGAGAGAGAGGAGAAAACAGTGAAGAAGACGGACGACACCTGAACCACGGACGGAGGCAGAGAGGAGGAGAAAGAGAGGGAAAGGAGACCCATGTCGTCACATCCTGTGAGGTTCCCCCACCAGTCTCCCCACCACGCAGCCGTCCTGTCCCCCCCCACTTGGTCCCCCCCCCTATCCTCCCTGTCGAGCATGCAAACTTGGCCCGGTTCTTGTGACCCCCCCCTCCGTTGCCGCCACCGCCTCATCATCATCAGCACGAGGGCAAGTTGAGAAGAGGGGGCAGGGGGACTGTAGGTTTGTCTGTTCATCACGCGCTTCACGGCCATACGCGCAGTTCCTCTCCGCGCCCGCCTCGCTCACGAAATCGCGCAGCGGTGCCCCGAGTCAGGTGGTAGATCTGGTGAAGTTTTCTCGGGGTGGATGTGCGTTCGTTCGTGCGTGCGCACCCTCGTGCTTATGTCGCCGCCGTGTGCTTTTTTCTTGGGAGAAGGTGGAGGGGAAAGGAAATAAGAGAACGCAGAGGAAGGGGACTCTTCTTCCGGTCGGGGAGAACCGTTGCCTATGACTCGGTTTTTTTTTTAATGTTTTTACGAGTATTTACATCTTTCTTTCTATCTCTCTAAAAAAATAGTTACCGCAGTTCAGCTAAAAAAAAAAGAAAGGCGAAAAAATGTGTAGAAAGAAAAGTGTAGAAAGAAAGCGGGGGTGGTGAGCGGGGGACTCTAGAGGAGTACGTGAGCCGAAGGAAATTGTAGTCGGTGGTGAAAAGGTCCGTTCTGAGTTCATTGTTTCACGAGAGACAGGGGGATGGGGGGAGGGAGGGGGGGGGGGGGGCGTTCTAACGAAACCCCGCAACGTCGAGCCGTCGTTCCCGTGGTCGAGGGAGAAACCTCCCCTCGCAGTAACCGACTGGCTCTAATCTCATCGTGGTAACAGAAGCGCTAGGGGCTTTCCGGTTTCCTCACTAGGGGAGCGCACGTGGTACCCACGCGATTATGTCTTAGTTTTCATAGTGCATAAAAGCTTGGCATTGCACGTGCTTGCACCAGCGGAGGAAGTTGAAGTATCCTCACTCTGGATAGTGAAAAAATTTCGCCAGGTGGCGATACCCAAAGTTTTCGCCGCAAATAGAGTTCCGTATCCATTTATGCTCGAGCCCGCTGCACGAGTCCTCGTGTCCTTCCACGTATTTCTTCGGTCCGTGGTTGCGCGAGTCTCATCGACCTCCAAGTATTCAATAAGATCATGAAACTATTCTTCGTATTCACCGGTGAAATCATGCGATGCAGCTCTTGGAATAATTCTATCCGATACCCAATAGTACTATGCAGTGCTATGACGCGCGTAGGGTCACGAGCGCTGCTTTGAAACATGTTTGCCTTGCGCGAGTGAGCGCGCAAGAAAAGAGTTTAACCAGACAAGTTTTTCCCATGTGCTTTTAATGACTATATAAACAATTGGGACCTGGTATGACTTGCGCTTAATTATGAAAGAAAGAACAAAACACGTAAATATAAATTAAAAACAAAAAGAAATTCCAGGGTGTTTACTTTCCTCAGCGTCAGTAATTTCTCCGAACTGCCTCTCTTGGCGGACAGAATTTGCTCTCCGAGCGTTCTGATGGGATGTAGAGACGCATGAACATTTTTTTTTTTCTTTTTTAGACTAAAGATTTCCAGAGCATAGTTAGCTATATCTCTTGGAAAGAAAGGAAAAAATAGAGACCGAGGAAGATAGCCACAAAGTTGTCACACACTATAAAGATTGTCGATACTGCATAACTAACATGTTTCGCTTGCGCACAGTGGGCCACGCAAAGCAACGCCATCGGTCACAGAGAGCATGGCGCGATGCCGTCAAACATCTACTTATCCCGCTGGGCGCGTACAGCAATCAAGGTGTCAAGGCACCAGCCGTCAACCAGCCAAACCTCCCGCGCAAAGCGTTCACGCACGACGCAGAATCACCAGCCACCAGCGGCGCCGGCACCACAGCGACAAAAGCTCCGCGGTCGTTACGAGCGAGCACAAGAAAGGAACCGATGAGTGCGTTTCCAGAGGACAACCGTGAAAACCGACAGCGGAATGAGAGGCAGACAGAGATACACCTCCCCAAAACACATAACGACCTGAGGGAACAACAACAGCCCGAGCCCGACCGAACCGTCCTTCGCCGGCGACGAGGCCTGCCTACCTGCCCGCGAGCTCAGAGGCGTATTTCTGGCAAGCGCAAACAGCGGCCAATAGAAAGAAGAAAAAGAAACGGAAGAAGGTAAGACCGGCCGGCGGCGATTGTCTCCGACCGCGCCATAACGCCGGCCGTCGTGAGTCAGCCTTCGGCGCGAAGGTGTTCCCATAATATATATATATAAAAAACGGGAGAGGGGGGAGAAAAGGCTAGCGCCGATTGCTGTGACCTTCCGGCGAAGAATAGCGGGCCCTGCCGCGTCGTCTTCCTCTCCTCCCTCGGGCGAGGGGGCGAAATCTTTTATTATGGCTAATCAGGCACCATTGCGGCAACGACGACACTATGAGCGCGCCTCTCCCCTCCCCTCTGCTGCCACACACAAATGCTGTCCAACGGCGGCGACCATACGTTGTCACAAGGCCGTCCAACGCGCAAGGTTGGCTTCGACGTGACAACCTGCATGCCGCTGTCGCGTTTTGTTTTTATCTCCTTTGAATTTCCTTGCGAGAGGCGTAACACGTTACAACGTTCGTCAAAATTGGTTCCTCCACGCTGCGCGTGGATCGCCCTGCGGTCGCGGTGTCACGGTCAGCTGAAATGGCGCCTCTTCAAAGACACAATCATCGATATGCTTGTTCAGCCAGCGGAAGACAGTTCAACAAAAGCTCCGAACTTCTACTTTCGTCGTCTTGAACATTCCATCGATAATTCTTCCTGTTGCCGTGGTAACGGCGACGTTAGATACATCGAGCGCACCCGTAAAGAGATCTAATACAAAGAACTAAGAACAAATATGTATACCCCAGTGGCGTAGATATTTGGCCGATGTCCGCGAAAACGCAGCGACGTCAGAAATGGAGGGGGCTGTCCCGACAACCCTGAGCGACGCGCGCAACAAAACAAATTAGCGCGATTAACGTGTGTACGCGAGGACAAAAAGCAAGGTATCAGATTAGCATCACGTACTGCGGAGTCTTCCTTAGCCGCATTTAAAAACCACTCCGTTATGCCGCTGTTCGCTTAGAGCGACGTTTCAAGCAAATTTTTTTTTTCCCCAGCACAGTACGTAAACGCGCGCAAAACAACTTTTCTAAGTACGCGCAAAACTATCCACTTATGGTTCCGCGCGGTGAAACATGCTCGCTAAGTATCGTCCTGGCACGCCGCTCGGGTGGCAAACTCACCTTTACCCCACAGCTCAACTAACCAGATCCGCGAGGTTATGCGCTTTTTTTTTTTTTCGCGCGTGTTTACCATTTTTAAACTTAAAACCAAGGTCGTCTACGAAGAAGAGCAGCCGAGACAGCTAGAATATATATCCAGTGCCTGGTCGCGACATTTCGAGCCGTGGGACGTCGATGTGCTTGCCAGCTAAACATCGCTGAGCTTTGAGTACATTTACCGAAGATCGTTTTTCCCCCACATGTTCCACTACCTGAGTCTAAATCGCTCGGTCACGACTGTTCTCCGCAGCAATTGCCACCCCAACCTTCAGAGGGTACCAAGTGAGCGCGTGCGAGAGGTCCGAGCTATTAGCGCAAAGGCCGACGCTCAAAGACGTTGGTCGTACCACCCGAGATCCTAACTAAAAAATAAAAAAAGGAAAAAGAAAGCTATAGCTTCGAAACTGCGCCTAATTGCACAACTACTATACCGAGCTTCGGTTTTCTGTTTTTCTCCCAGTAGAACACATCTTTCGTGATACGGTTCCTCTGTGTCGCCTCGAAGGGAGGGAACGTAGTACAACAAAAGAAGATGCGTGTATAGGGGAGAACGAGGGGAGAGAAAAACGGCAGCGGCAGATTGCGTTATCTGGAGGGGCAGCTGCGTGGTCGAGAGGAGGAGAGGCGGACCAGCTGAAAAGTAGCCCCACTCGCGAAACAAGAGCCCAAACCAAAATCGAAAACTTGGACGCTCCGTATTCGTCGGAACAAGACACGGGCCACCGCGGGAGTTCGTTATCCCAATTCAACACGATATTCGTCTTCTGCGCCAGATTTCTACACCCGGAACGTCGCGTATACGTACGTGTCTCCAACAAGAGAATGCACGTTACACTCCACAGAAGGGCTGGTACTACTGAGCAGAAAGTCGCGCAAAAACAAAACAAAGGAACGGCACACGATGTGCTAATCGTCACTGATAAGGCGTGACTTAATACGTCCACGCTCCACGATTCGTTCTTCGGAGTTCTTATAGGCAAATGTCGCAATTTCGTTGGGCGAGGAACGATAAGGAGTCGATCAGGACTCGGCACGACCTCTCTCTCTCTCTCTCTCTCTCTGTGTGTGTGTGTGTGTGTGTGTGTGTGTGTGTGTGTGTGTGTGTGTGTGTGTGTGTGTGTGTGTGTGTGTGTGTGTGTGTGTTTGTTTGTGCGCGCGTGTGTGTGTGTGCGTGTTCCTTCTCTTTTTTTTTAGCTGTCTATGATTATAAGGTAAAAAAAAAAAAAAGCAACAACAACATAACATTAACATATAATCTACCTTCGGAAACTCCACCTTTTGTTTAAACAGAACACGAATATCTAGCTTCGGAAACTCCACCTTTCGTTTAAACAGAACGGAGTTTTTAGAAGGTTAGAAGCTCTACTCCGCATAACAAATCTTCTCATTCATAATACAATCAAGGTAAAAATAAAAATTAAAAAAAAAAAGAATACCCGGCTTTTTCAACCCAATTTCTTTAAAGATAATCCTTCCGAATTAAATAAAAGAATCACGTGGCATAAAAATCCCCCTTTCGAAAAAAGAAAACGGCGAACAAATAGCGCGCAAGTACTACGC